GACCAAGAAGGAATGCCACATGGTTTTATCAGCCGATGCACAAAGGACAGTTGGCAAAATTGAACATCCTCTTGTGATTTAAAAAATAACTTATCAGATTTAAAAAATATTGTATGAAAAAAATCTATTTTTCCACCAAGAAAAGGGAGTCAGAACTCCCTGATCTAATCTTTAGAATTGGAAAGCAGTCATGACTATTTTGAATAATTTTATTTTGTAAAATGACAACTGTTCCTAATCTGACTGCAGTTTAGGGTACTATGTTCTAACTATATTAGCATTTTCCCATTGAATATTGTCTAATGTAAATTAAAAAGTGAGCTCCTATCTTTAAGAAAAATATAGAAAACAACAAATGACTTAGAAAAATAGGCATAGGTAATGCCCTCGAGCTGGAAAAGTGACTTTGAAATCCTATAATTAATGCAATTGATGGTGAAAGATTGACTACTTTTCTCCTAAAATCTAGAACAAAGCAAGCATGCTTATCTCACAAGTCTTATTCAACATGAGCACAATGATGGAAGTACAAGTTTATGTAGTCAGACAAGAAAAGAAAATAAAAGATATACAGATTGCAAAGGAAAACAAAATCAACTCAATTTAGATGACATTGGTGTCTATGTATAAAATCACAATGGAAAAATTTAAAGGACACCAAACAATGCAAACAGATAACACCAACAAAGAACTAATAGATGTGTTTGGAAAGGTTACAGGACACATTGAAATACACAATTTGATGTATTTCTCTGCCTTAGAAATGAGAAAGGAGACACTGAAATGTAAAATGAAGTATCATTGTAGTCACTCAAAATACGTATAAATCTAACAAAGCACATATCAGACTCATTCACTGAAAAGTCTGTAACAGTAGTGAAATAAATCAAGGAAAGTGGGGAGATGTGCTCTTTTCTTGAACTTAAACATAGCATAAAAATCAGTGTCCATTCTTGCGAAATTGATGTGTAGGTTCATTTGACCCCTATCAAAATCACAGCAAGAATTTTTATAGATACTGACAATCCTATTCTAAAGCATATATGGGGAGAAGGAAAAAGGGAGGAGGAGGAGGAAGAAGAAGAAAAGAAGAAATTTTGAAAAGAATAAATGTAAAGAACCCTCCTTCTATTCCTTTTCTGGATTATTACTGCAGTAATCAAAGACTGTGCAGTGGAGACAGACAGACCAGTGAAGCCAGAAACAGATTCACACAAATAATGACACAATGCAGAGAGAAGGCCTGGCCACAGACATTAGATCAGTTAGACGTCTCTAGGCAAAAGTAATCAGCTTCAACCAAAGTCTTGTGTCTTATACAAAAATTAACTAAAACAGTCTTTGATTCAAAAAGCAATGATAAAAAATGCAAGGCCATTAGAGAAAATCAGTAGAACACATCATTAGGATCTAGGGCTCAAAAAAGAAAAGCTCTTACATTAATGACTGGGCTGCAAGAGTATAAATTTGGACATCATCAAAATGGCAAAGTTTTGCCCTACAAGTAATTTTCTTAAGATGATGAAAAGGGCAACTACAGGAGAAACGGTAGGATTTCAAGCCACATATTTAACAGAGCCATGCGCTGTGTGTACTGGCTCTTGGATTCTGAAATTATGATTGTTTCATTATGCTGCATTTAGTGTCCTATGTTCCTGTTTCTGATTCTCCTCAGACACTCCGAAAAGACTGAAGATCTGTCAGTGTGAGCCTGCCCAGGTGGCATTGGCGAGCTTTGTTTTCCCTTCCTGGAGCCTCTGACTCCTGCTTCAGTGTGGCTTGCTTGGCCACAGAGATGGCCTATTTGTTCCTTTCTTGTTGCCTTAGAATTTCCTTTATCTCTTGTCTGTGTACACCCTTTTTTATTTTCTTGGCTTAGTCTCTAATTTTGGTTAACGTCTCCCTTCATTACTTTTCTTACCAAAATTATAAAGCCAGGATATAAAAGTTAAGCATACTGGCACTGTTCTGGTGGCATATAAATTGGTAAAAAAATAAAAAATAAACAGTGGAAATTTCCCTGCATCATCTACTGCAAAGATCCCTAGAGGCCCAGTAGCTCCATTCAGTCGGTGTATTATACTCAGATGAAATGCTGCATGTATCCGGAATGGCATAGCAGCTTTACACGGAACCACTGTCTTCATTAAGTTTCTATTGTTGTGCAAAGACCCCGTGATCACAGCAACTCTTACAAAGAGAACATTTAATTGAGGGGGCTCAGTTACAGTTTCAGAGGTTCTGTCGATTACCATCGTGGCGGGGAGCATGGCAGTGGACAGGCAGATGTGATGCTGGGGTATCTGAGAGTCCTACTTCTTGCATGGAACAGGAAGTTGAGTGGCTGTTGCACTGACGAATTTTGAGCAAATGAGACATCAAAGTCCGCCTCCACAGTGTCACACTTCCTCCAACAAGGTCACACCTCCCAATAGTGCCACTCCCTTTGGGGGCCATTTCTTTGAAAGCACCACAACTACCAAGCACTGGCAACAGCTGAAATGTCCATCAGTAGATTAGGCCTAAAAAGTAGTGTATTTGTGCCATATAATATGATGTCAATGAGCACCATTCACCCGCATCTAAATATAGTAGCACTCTACGAGTGCATAAGGTTAGCAAAACACATCAGATTAATCAAAGTGCCAATGGTGAAAATATACAGATGGAAGCATGTGAGTGATCACCAAAACAGGGAGGGAGGTGGTGAGTTTCCTGGGCAGTGGAGAGGAGTCCTGTGTGTGTGTGTGTGTGTGTGTGTGTGTGTGCGCGCGCGCGCGCGCGCACACACACTCTCTCTCTTTCACGAAATGAATGGTGAAGTAAATGTGCAAGGTTGAAGATAGCCCCACCTCCTAAAACGTGATACTTTATTATGACATACCACACAGACAGCAGTGTGTGCATCCAGAATCACCTAGGGAGAATTGTTAAAGATGCAAGTGAGCTTGGATGCTTATTCCCTTATTGGTAGAGGTTTCATTTGGATCATTCAAAAACTATTAGGCTTTTCATAATAATGGCATGTGAGCACATACCAACAGGCAGACCAGATACATAGCTATACTCCATGAATCTCCTGCTGAGTCCTAGGCAGGGGCCCTTTAGTTCTCCAGAACCTAGTCTTGTCTCTTTCTGAAGGTCATTTATTCTGGAAGTAGGGTGCAGAATCACAAAGCATAGGGAGGCTGAGACTCAGAGCTCCCACCGTATCCCTTCTGCCCACATTGGCTGGTGAGAGTCAATTGCTACGACCCCCTCAACCCCGTCCTGGGGGTGCACTGGGATGCATCTGGAGCTGTCTCTGTAGATTGATGTGGAGACCCTGGGACATCAGCTCACACACCAGGAAGGCAAAAGCTAAAAGGGAGAAGCACTTTGGATAAAAGCTTAGCAGTCTAGGAAAGCAGTGTGAGGAAGGGGTCATAGAACTCAGGGAAAGAGCTTTGGTGTGGACGTCATCCTGGGACACAGCTCAAGTGGGTGCAGTTTGACATCTGGGGACCTGAGCTCCATACCTGCAGGGGACATGCCTTGTAGGAAGAGCCAGCCTCTGATGAATCCTGCACGCTCCTTAGCTCTCTGGATGTGGTGGATGTGTCCTGACTCCCACACCCAGCAGTTAGGAATGACAGTCATGATACATGGAGTCTGTGGCGCCTCCCTTTGTAGCACACCATGCAGTGAAAAGTCATTTGTTACCGTTACAATGGGCCAATATTTGTCTGAAAATAACACAGGCACTTTGAGTCACCTGGTGTGAAACATTTGTCAGGATTTATTGAAGTGGGCACCTGCTAGTCTAAGGAAAAGAATTTGTTTCGTGTTACATCAGCCTTGAATAGAATCCCACTGATTTAAGTGAATGTTTTCTGTTTAGGCATCTTCTATACAGGTTTTCTTTTCTTCTTCTTTTTTTTTAAATTCAATTTCCAATCAGGCACTGGTAAGTCTGTTCTTTTTCCTGTGGCTGAAAACATCATACAGTTTTTCTGCTTTGCCACTGTTTTTCAAAGTTCTAAGGATGCATTTGTTTCCTTCCAATGACCTTTCATTTTCTGAGCTATTTTAACTTATTCAGAATCCGCTGACAGTGATGATGCATCTGGACCACACATAGTGTGACAATAAGCTGTAACTCCAGCGAAACAAAACAAAAGTTGGGTATAGGTGGGGATGGAAAGCCCAACCAAGTCTTGAAGATTAAGATGGGCTGCATGTTGGTGGATGGAAACGAATTTCAGGGGCCACGGAGTGATGGAGTACGACAGGAAAGTTCTGACCATGAGACAAGAATGGGGCAAAGCATACCTCCACAGACCTATAAATGGATGAGTGGTTTTCAGATTACATTTATTTCTGTGGTTCACCTGCTGTTTCATGGAACTTAAAAGATTCCTCCAAAAATAATTTTCCTGTGTGTGTGTGTGTGTGTGTGTGTGTGTGTGTGTGTGTGTGTGTGTCATATCTGCCATCAGAGGACAGCCTTGGGTATCTGCCCTCACCTTCCACGTTGCTTAAGGTGGTGTCTCTAGTGGAGGGAGGGGGAACTGTGTTTGGGATGTATGGTATGAGAGAAGAATCTAATCAATTTTCTTTGTTGCTGTGTTTACCAAACTTGTTTGTGTGTGAGCTTCAGGACTCTCCTGCCTCTGCCTCCCATTTTGCTATAGAAGCACAAGGCTACCTTACCTAGCTTCCCATAGGCTCTGGGGATCCAAGCTCAGACGCTGGTGTGCATGTGACAAACTCTTCACCCACCCAGTCAGCTCTCCGGCTCCACTTTCTTTTTTTAACCGTTGCTTTTAAAAGAGACGTTGAAGTAATCCACGGTGGCATTCATGGCGGCATTCGCGGCCTTGGTCGATGGAAATTGTTTTAGCTGTGAAGGTATGTTTCCAGCGGAGCCGTTTCTCGTGTCCTTGCTATGTCAGACCTCAGAGCATGCTTCCGGGGCCAAACGCCGTGCTAACGCGAAGCTTGTCTGCGTCCCTGTTTAGATCAAGTTCGACAGCGTGGAGGTGTGCGTCTGCTGTGAGCTGCAGCACCACTCATCGGGATGCAGCAACCTGGGGGAGACGCTGAAGCTGAACCCGCTGCAGGAGAACTGCAATGCCGTGCGGCTGACCTTGAAGGTGAGGCTGGGCACCGCCTGTGCGCGCATCTCTTCCCCCTCCTGGAGACGTGAAGGAAGATTTACTAGCATATAGATTCCTTTCATGGTTCATCCGGGTGGTTGGATCCGAGGGACCATCCTTCTGGGAAGGGAACTTTACAGGGTTGCAGGTTGTCCTTTGGAGGCTCTGCTTTCTCAGCCCCTGCTTCCATGCGCTGTGTCATTTTCCTGCCCGTGACAGATGCTCAGTGGGATAAGAATGGCTGTAAGAGTTCTTCGCAGATGAGGTCACCACTATTTCTCCTGTTGTCCCCACAGGCTCTGCTGTTACTCCATCAAGGGCCACCGTGGTTACTCGTTTTACTTTTAAAAAGATATTTAGGGCAGTAAGCTAATGACCTGAGTTAGAGACCCCAGGGCCCATGTGGAGGAAGGAGAGAACTGAGTCCAGAAAATTGTCTTCTTTCCTTAGTGGCATACTCATACACACATAGAAACAATTTAAATACAAGTAGATAAATGTAATTAAAAGACATTTAAAGAAAGAAATCTTACACTCTCCCATGGTAATCTGTTCTCATATAAAGATTTTTTATAAAAGGGACATAGGGTCCGGGCCCAGTGATGCTCTTTTAATCCCAACACTCAGGAGACAGAGGCAGGTGGATCTCTTTGAGTTCCAGGCCAGCCTGGTCTACATAAAGAGTTCCAGGCCAGCCAGGTCCACACAGTGAGACTGGAGGGCACATGGAAATGCTGTCTGTTAGTCTTTCCTGTCTACCTTCTTACAAGGGGTATTTTACTGAGAACCCAAACTGGCTGCTCAGAAATACACATGGACAGTCAATCCAGTTCTTTTCTTGTCCCCGAACAAAAAGTGGCTGAAACGTCTTGAAAGCTGTGCTGCCATCAGAAAACCCCTTGGTTGGTGGTGACACTGTTTACAGTGGAGACCTCCAGCCCGTGCCAGGAAACAGGGTTTATAAGGACCACAGGCTCCACAGACAGCTGCTCCCAACCTGGGGAGAGGAAAGAAGGTGGCCACATGAGGTGGTTTCCCCAACACCAGCCGCAGTGAGAACGGAGGAAGCCAGAACTGCAGGTCCACAGGGATGCCTTCCTGGTGCCAACCATCTCTTGTGGTCCTACATTACATGCCTTCACAGTCCAAACCATCTCACAGGCTGGGGTCTGCTCAGGAGCAGTGCCCAGTGCCTGCACGGCCATTCATAGCCCACTGCAATGGGGAGCATTATTGGGGGGGGGGCTCTGCTTACTCTAAGATCTCATTCTGATATCTTCTAGGTTACCTGTGAGCCCAGGTGTGCTTTCTTCCCACATTTAAAGAACACAGCCAGGCCACAGGTAATCACAGAGACAGTATGATCAACACCTCTTGGAAAAGCCATCAAGTCCCCAGGGAATCTCAGGCTCTGAGGGCCACTTGTCTGTGTCAGTCGATTTTATGGCACTATAACAATTATCCAAGTAATCTACCTGGAAGATAAAATGTTTAGATTGTTTAGTTCAGAGTTTCAAGTGTGTCACCAAATAATGCCGTCTTCCCAGGAGCGTGTAGTGGGACAGAACCACTTAGCTCACCACAGGCAAGGGCGTGGGAAGCAAAAGAGGTTATCCACCAGTGACCTGAGGACTCCTAAAGTCTTGCCTCCTAAACCCCCAACTTTTCAAATATTTATTTATTTTTATTTTATACTTACAAATATAAAATTGCCTGCATGTGCCTGGTGAACCACAGAGGCCAGAACAGGGTGGGATTACAGATGGTTACGAACTGCTGTATGGGTTCTGGGAACTGAACTCTCCTCCTCCTCCTCTATAAGAGCAGCAAGTGCTCTTAACTGCTAGGCCATCTCTCTAGCCCCAAGGATCCAGCTTTTAAGAGTGGACTTTTAGAAGAACATTTAGCCAAACCATCCTGTTGTTTCTTTTAAGCTAATGGGTTGGCTATATAGAGTATTTGGTCTGTTACCCCAAAGCCCTGGGCTTCTCTTTGAAATCTTTATCCGGTGGGACTCTTACATGAGCCCTCTAAGGAGATGTGAATTGAAGTTCGGGAGGGATGCTTTCCTTAAGGTGCAAGCTCGTTCCTGGGGTGTTCCTGTGTCCTAGGAACTTGATGAGAAAAGGCAATGGGGTTTTTGGTTATGAACTTAGCCAAGTGGAGTGGAGTTCGGGAATTCAAGCCAGGACTGGCTATCCTAACTGAGTGTTTGAGTCTTGTCAATGACTCTCGTTCGTGTAGATGTGGATACCCTGGACACTGGCAGGAGGTGAAGGCAAAGAAAGGATCCCCCAAACTTCTTATTGGTCATTTTTGCAAAATACTCTCAAAGCAGAAGCTATCAGAGCTGATGGGAGGAGGCTCAAAGGAGACAGAGTTGATGGCCAAGGTAGAAGGGGGATGATCTAGCCACAGCAGTGACTGTAATTACGAGAAGGGGAACTTTGCCTCTGTCTGTCCCCAAATGAAGGTCTCTATAGAGAGTAGTGGTGCTGGTATGACAACTCATTTTTGCCTGAGAGCAGCAAGATGGAGACTATCGGACGTGAGTGTCTGTCTGTGGCTTATTGCTGTCTTCCAGTTTTGTTATTTTTCCAAACTTGCTTCCATTATCCTAGGCCCTTGGCATTTCCATATACATTTTAGAATAAGCTTGTCAGTTTCTATGGAGGTCCTGCTGGGATTTTGATTAAGATTGTGTGGAACCATGTATTGCTTTGAACATGTCTATTTAGGCCTTTTTTATTTCAGCAGTGTTTATTATCTTCATCAGCATGTAATTTTCAGTTTATAGATCTTCACTTATTTTAAGTTATTTGTTCCTTTTCCCAATTTATTGGTGCTATTTACTTAATACTTTAGAATCATCTCATATTGTTGTATCTGAATTTGATGCTTGTTACTGATCGTGTGTGCTGTGATCTTGCTAAAGTCAGTTACTAGCAGTAGGACCTTCTTTGGTAGCTGGCCCTATGGTAAAGCAGAGGCCATTTTACATCTCCTATTCTGTATCAGCCAGGGTTCTCTAGAGAACAGACCCAGTAGGGCACTTAGAGACATAAAAACGTCAGGCGATTTGACTATGGGCACTGAGAAGTCTCACAACAGGCTGTCCACAAGTAGGAGACCCTAGGATTCTGGCAATGATGCTCAGTCCAATGCTAAAAGCTCCCAAATCAAGGAAACAGACTAACCCTCAGCCTAAGGCTGGAGGCTTGGAGTTCTCTGATGTCCCAGGCAGGAGAGGACTGAGGAAGGGGGGCCTCACTTTCACATTTTGTTGTGTCTGACACTCCAGCAGATTGGATGGTGCCTAACCACACTGAGAATAGACCTTCCCTTTTACTCCACTGACTTGGGGGCTGCTCCCCTTCACAGATGCACCTGGGAACACTGCTTTCCTGGTTCTCCAGGCATCCTTCCTTCATCCGGCCCATCAATGCCTGAAGTGACCACTCCAGTCTGATGTCTTATCCCCTTTCCTTGTTTACTTATTTACTTTTATTTATTTTTTTGCTATAACTGGGAACTCCAGTGGCCAAATGGAGGCATGAAGGGCTCACATTCTTGCCCTGCCCCTGACTTTAAAGCTGAAGAGTGCCCTTTGCTCCAAATTGCACAGTGACCCCATCGCTGCATAGTAAAATTCACTCCCTCCATGAGACGGTGTTGCACAGTGACCCCATCGCTGCATAGTAAAATTCACTCCCTCCATGAGACGGTGTTGCACAGTGACCCCATCGCTGCATAGTAAAATTCACTCCCTCCATGAGACGGTGTTGCACAGTGACCCCATCGCTGCATAGTAAAATTCACTCCCTCCATGAGACGGTGTTGCACAGTGACCCCATCGCTGCATAGTAAAATTCACTCCCTCCATGAGACGGTGTTGCACAGTGACCCCATCGCTGCATAGTAAAATTCACTCCCTCCATGAGAGGGTGTTGTATTTTGTCTTTCTTACAGCATCTGAATGGGTCATATACATGTGGAAATCAGGCTCTCAAAAATAACCCAAATTCCAAATATTGATGTGTCCCAGGCAGTAGAAAAAGCTAAAGCTCTGGAGTCCAACCGCATCCTACAGTTTGTTTGTTTGTTTTTCAGCTTCTAAAGTTTGAGCAATGGTGTTGAATTCTGTCTGTGTGAGCATCAGACGTCTCTGGATTCTGTCTATGTGAGCATCCTTGGGTGGTCTCGGGATCCTTGACTACTGAAGGAAAGCTTCTATTGCAGTTTAAGCATACTTAGAGACACAGCTATTGTGGAGAGCCCTTAGGTCATTCTTCAGTAAATGGGCTCTTGCAGCTTAACAGGACAGCTGTGTCAGTCATGTCTGAGGACATCTTTGCAAACATGCTTTGCAAACCTTTGCTTTCTTGAGATAAGAGGAAAGGGGTTCAACTGAAACAGGCAGGAGGACAAGCAGAGCTCAGGAAAATTTTAGCACATCTTAATCCTCCGGCTCTACTTAATCCTGTGGCTCTCGGGCAGAAAGGAGAAAGCCTTCCTAGTGCAGGGCAGCAGCAGAACAGAATACTAAATGTTTAGTATATGTTCTTCTTTTCCTCTTTGATCTTATACTCTCACCATCTGCAGTCTGATAGTGTGGTGATGGAAATCAATGTCTCGGTGGTGAGCCGACCTGACACCCCCAAAACTCTCCTCAGTCATGTCCCCTTGGGGATATTGTGCTGGGATTAAAGCATTTTTCATTTCTGTGACTTCTTTTTTTCTGTTTTCAAGACACAGTCTCACTGTGTAGCCTGGGCTGGCCTTTAGCTTTCAGTGAGTCTCCTGTCTCAGCCTTTTGACTGCCAGAAGTTACACATAAGAGTCACTACTCTGGCAGGCAACTGTTCCCTGTTTCCACTAGACCAGTCCTTCTTGCTTCCATCTATCTGGTGACTTACTTATGCGGTCTTATCCGTTGCCCATCTTTTCCACTAGAGCAGGTGTTTGGCTGCATCTGCTCTGGGCGGGTCCTTATATTT